TATCGTATTAAAAGTCTCGTCTCTGTTTTAATATTGTATTATGGCTGCTGTCTCTTATACACATCTTTTCCGGAGGTAGGCTTGTAAGGAGTTAAGCTGCGTGGTTAATGAACAGTTAGATAGTTTCTTAAACTTAGTTGAATCAGAGAACAAGTTCGTCATAGATGTGATATAATCAGTTTTCTTCATTATCGCAACACCATTTCCTTTATCAGGTTTAAGAATTACATACTTATTACGTAAGATTTTTAAAGTATTAATACGTTTGGCATCACAATTTAAATTCCGGTTATCAAAGTCAAGAAAGTTACATGTCATTGCACGAATTGAGTTCTTAATTTTCTCACGTTTAATAAATGATTTAGGTAGAGCATCAGCATTATTAAGTTGTTCCTAAATTGATTCGGCATAAACAAACATATCAGAGTCCTTAGGTCGTGTAGCTAATCCATTACGGATACCAAATGTTAAGACAGATTCTTCTTCCTTAGATAATGTTTCGCCAGTTAAGTTAGTAATTATATGGTTAGGGTTCTTACACGTTCCATTAATTATTGCATGTTCACGTAGAAGGTTGTTAAATTTACGTCCATGGCGGTAAGATACTTTACGCATTTCATTATCTACAGTAGTCCTAACATGATGCTTAATTACTAAGGCACGTAACCATGTAGTAGACATTTCGTAGGTTATATGCCGTGTATTTTACACCGAAAATTCAAGATATGATCAATGACGTCATTACCAGACTGATTTCAAAACTCTATTCAAAATGCCATAGCAGTGGTCTAATTTTAGTTCAACATCAAATTTAACATAAACTCAAACATTTCGAATTTGAAATAGTAACTAAAATAGTTTCAACAAAAGAATATAGGGTCTGTGCACTTACCTGGTATAAGAGACAGGTCCGCAGCCGTTAGAACAACACTTCTCACTCCCTCCGCACGTGGCGTCGCCATTACATGTCTCGACGCACAAGCCAAATGAGCCGTTATTTACAACAGGACAGATTCCAATTTTTTCAACTGCAACAAAATAATTCAAGCTGATTTTAAATTATTACTTAATGTTTAAAAAACGGGGATTCAGTTACAGTACATCTTACTTATTCCAGCGACAATCACTCATACACTGGACAGCACGAACAATTTCATGCCACTAGTAGGCATTAAAGAAATTAATAAGTGATATTAGTAGACGATCGAATGATAAATTAATGATAAGTAATAATAATAATTAAGCTATACCCATAAGTAACTAATCAGTAAACGAATCATAATATGTAAAATTCATGTGGGTTGTTGTAGGTGAAACACGCGATACCAATTAAATATAAGTAGCGCTGCTCAATAGTATAACATATATATATATATTATATATATATTATATAAATATATATATATGTATATATAAATATATACAAATATATATATATATATGTATATATATATATGTAAAACATATATGCTTGAGCCTTCTATTCTATGTATCTATGCATGAGCCTAATCGAAAGATTCGAAAGCCTTTTGATATAAGCCTATTTATATTTCTATACAATTTTTTATTGCGTGTTATATCAGATTTCATTTCAGGTTTTATTAACAAATTCATGTTAAACACTGGTCAATACAGACCTGATATTGACTCGACACACACGTGACCACATCCATTGAAACAACACTTCTTGAAACCAGGACAAGTATTGTCAGAAGTGCACATGTCTGCGCATGCTCCAAGTGTCCCATTGGTAATTTGCATTTCTTGGTCCGGACATTGACCATTTTTTATTTCTAGAATTTATGGTAGTAGTATTATAGTAGTAGTATTAAAATAATTTATACACAACAATGATTATAATAATAATTACTACGGTATATAAAATATAATAAAAATAATGAATTATAATTGCTATATATTACACAGTAGGACATTTTACGCTTGGTTGCTAATGATGAATCCGATCCCCAAGTAGCATCGGGTACTGCAAGTACAAACTCACATCGTATAGCACTTTCAATGATCGGATTATAATGATTATGGTAGATGACGATGACAATGATGAAGATGATGAGCATGAATTACCTTTGCAAACACACATATCGCACCCATTCTCGTCCTGTTCGAAACCGTGCTCACAGTACATCATGCACATAACCTCT